CCTCTGCATGAAAAATACCTCCCCCCCCCCCCCTCACCTTTTTTGTTTTCATTTAAACCCTCGGCAAGAAAAAAGATCACACACCCCCTTCCCCTCAAATACGTCACCTTCCAACTGCCCCTCAAGTACGTCTCCTTCCAACTGCCCCTCAAGGTCGTCATCTTCCAACCATCCTTACACTTCTTTCTGTTTTTCCCTCACCACCCACCGCCTGCCCGCGCGGACGTTCACAGGTTTCAGAGACAGAGACCAGAGAGCGGAGCTCTTCCTTCGGGAACCCTGTGGAGCCGATGGGCCGACCTCTGGGTCAGTCGGCGGCCCCTGGGGGTCAGCTGGGCGAGGTGGACCTCTCTTGGAACACCCTGCAGGAACAGGTGAGCTCGATAGGGAGATTTTTGTGAGTGTGATGTGTGTGAGAGAGTGGGGTGTCGGGGTAAGAGATGATGGGTTTCAGTAATAAATCCATGTCTCGTCTATGCATAGCGCATATTCCGCGCTCAACAGCAAGCTCTTTGCGCTTTGCATTCTATAATATTACCCCAGTACACCACTAGAAGACTCGGAAACATTCTTAACATTTCGGGAAGCAAACAGTTTTGCTCCATCCTTTCATTGCAGAAAGGTCTGAGAAGCAACGTCCAACCATTGGGAAAGTTGGGAGGACAAAGAAAAAAGGGTGTGTGTAGAGGGGGGGGGGGTCATAACTGCTCCTTTGTTTGTAAGGCTGTTTGTGTGGTTTTTTCGTCAGCGCATAATGCCTGTTAATGTGTCCATGTACATCTCTTTAACTTCACATACATTCATGCATGACAATGAAAAATGAATAACTTTCACCCAACCTTGCGCCATCATTTCGAGAAAAAATAGTGGAAGGGAATGCACAAAGAGAAAGGTGTTCGAGGAATATGGTACAAAAATAGAGTAATCTAAGGTCCAGATCGGTACAAATATTTTATTAGGGTATTTGGATTACCAGGTGAGCGGGCGAAAGTCAGGTCCTGTGGACGATATCCTTATAGCCAGTGCACACTGACTATTGGATTCAATCAAACTGAATGAGGGAATGCCAGATTTTTTCTTTCATAGAGGAGCAAAGGCAACCATACATTTTAGCACAGTCCGACCACATTGACTTAATTCGCAACTGTGATTTTCAAAATCAAACGCGTTTGTTTGTCAATGTCCCGAGCCGAACAGGTAGTATTGTCCCAAAACGGCAACTTTTGCCCCACCATGAAGGAAAAAGGTGGCTTGCCCCGACTGAATCAAATGGATTCGATTGGCAGTGTGCACATGGTATTAGTTTCTGGGGGGATTATCGGTGTTCCGGGGAACGGTTCCTCTTACCCAATGGGTGACAAAAGAACTGCCTGTAGTTACTTACCTACTTACTTAGCTTCTCCCGCCGGTACAATTGTCTCTATTCGTAAACCGTTATTAGTGTCAACTGTTCCTCTTTTCCACCCTATGCCCCGCTCTCTGATCTCTTCAATCTAGCTGTAATAAATTCACCGCCGGGCTGCTTCTCTCTCTCTCTCTCTCTCTCTCTCTCTCTCTCTCTCTCTCTCTCTCTCTCCCACCCCCAAGTGCTTCCGCTTATACGTAAGTACATGCACCAGTCAAAATATTTGGTCACCTTTATAAGAAATACGGCAAGAACGACACGTTTTCGCTGTTTGTATGCGGTTACCCTTTTATTGTAAATAGGTCTAAAGATCTCTTTATTGATTGCCTCTTAAGGAAAATACCCTCCCTCCTTCCCTCCCCAACACGCTTTTAGACCCCCAACACGCTTTTAGACCCCCCCCCCTTTTTTTCCCCGATGCGATGACTAATAGAACTACCATTTCTTTAACGTTTGGTTTGTTATGTCTCATGCTTGGCTAGAATTTGGGATCAGCGGCAGATGTTTATGTTGTAGATCGGAGGGGGACCCGATCTTCTTTTCTGTAAGGAAACGATTAGTTCAGACACGGTTCAGTCCTCGGTTCCAATAGCCGTGGTGCAAACCGCCACGGTTCAAACCACGGTTCAAAAGCCACCTTAGAGTGTGCTCTGTTTACAATGACGTGTATTTGACGACTGATGTCTGCGGGGTTTTTTTGGTGTGATTGTTGACAGCATTATGGAGTGACGGACGTTCTATCTTTGAGAAAGGCATTTTACACGAATGTTTTCCATTTGGCTCGGAATCTTCGGAGATGGACGTTAAGTTCGGAGATCCCTCCTACTATATATAGTGCGGTCAAAAATTCGTGGCGCAACTTATCCTCAAATATCTCTTTAACGGGTGAAACAATGTCACCCATACTTTACACAGCAGTTTGTATCAATTTGTCTTTACTTAACCATATTTTCCCACAACGATCTAGGGTAGATTAAAAACTTTTTTTTCGTAAATTTGTATGAAATACTATAAATCTCCATCTCACGGAAAATGGGATTGTTCACGGCACTTCCCGCTTTTCACCCACATTTTGTATACGTATGTGGCTTACGTTCACAGCTCACCAATGACACTTTCTATTAGCAAAACTTGTTACAAGAAATTAATTTTATAGTTAACACTTTTTTTCATTAAAGGTTCACAAAACATGCGTTTAATAAGCATAATGTCGCGATTAGAAAAAAAATTCGAACTTGCTCTTAATGGCGATATTTTCCCAGCTGTGTAAACCTTTAAAATCTGTAGAAACAAGCCACTAGGGTTTTTTATTAGTATTTATTAAGGAATTTTCTAGAATACAGCTAACAAGTGTCTATAAAAATTCTGATCGGTTAGACAAATTGATACAAGTCATTGGGCAAAAGCTGGAGACTTTATGTTCGATAGTTGAGGAGATATTTTACAAATTTTTTGACCGCACTACAGATAACCTTGCAGTTTTGCAAAGGGCTTACCTTTACACTTTCGTTTCGTTAATGATGGACTGTCCGGCATAGGGAGTTATTATGAAGCTATTGCATGAAACGTATGAAGAGGGTGTAAGACTACATGTTTTATACCCCCAGTGACTTTGTCGAGGGGCTGAAAGACGAGAAAATTTATTCCAAAGTTGTGTTTGAATAGGATTTTTGTATGCAGTGTCTGACTTATGGACGGTTTGTTACCAGTATTACTGGTGAGTAACTGAGAGACAAAGCAAGTTATTCTGATATTGCTGAGTGAGTCTTCTGTTGGAGGTGATGCGAGACTGTATTATAGTTATCACGTTTTAAAGTTATTTTTCATCGGTCAAAATGTAACGAAAGCGATCAGTCGATTGTGATTTACCGTTTTACAAAGTTCTGTTAACAATAAGAAAAATAGTACGTTGAATTGTGACCGAGGGATGCTTTACGAGAAAGACTATCTACATTTTTTTTAACTTTTCTAACTGAATGGAAACGTGTGTACCGAACGCGAATAAAGCAACAAAATGTTTTTCTCCGAAGAGGATACCCGGAACTTTTAACTTTAAAACAGGATAGATTAATTTATAATGAAGACTGAAGAAAAGTGTGCTGAACAAGTTAGTGGTAAACAGTGTATAACGGCTTGTTCTTCAAGCTTTCTAGATCTATGTTGGAATTTTCGGCATCGTATAATGTGCCAAGGAAAGTGAGGTCTCTCCGCTAGCCAAGCGCAATGCCTGGAATAAGATCGGGGATTCTTGTGCGGCGCCATGGCCGTTTTGAATTCCTCCGTAGGGATCAGCCTCGAGTGGAAACGGTAAGTCTTTGTTCAAGA